AAATGGCTTGTGCTAGTCACATGATTCCTAAAACAAACACCGGCAGAAGATGATGGGACGTGTATTTTTCCACATTTGGAGTATTTATAGAGGCAGTAGAGACCCACATGGCAGCACAAGATGAGGCAAAAGGTGAGTTTAGCATAAAAGGTCCCTTTTAAGTCCCATTGGTTTGAATCGATATTTAACATGGAATGGTTTTCCATGAGGGGGAAGAGAATCTAACTCTTCCTGTACTAAGCTGTTGTCAACGGCGACACAAAACGATGGTGAGTTTTACGTGACGTTGTCGAGTTCAGTCCACATGTTGTGTAATGAGTTCACCAGCTACTGCTGTTTCTCTGGCTTTAGGGACTGTACCTGTCAACTAGTATTGGCACAGGATTATGGTGAGGAAAGTGGAGGAATCCTAGATTATAGTTCGATCAGTATTTTGGTACAACTTATAATTGTTTTGAGAATGACTAGAATACTCAGCCAAGCAAGGAACATATACAGAGAAATTTTTCATCTGTTTACTACGTCCAAAAATAATAATAAAAAACTCCCCAAAATCTGTGTTCAGATGTGCAAACAGTCCACCAGCTTCCAGTTGGCTGGTGCTTGTTTAAAATGTCGTGTTAGAGCACAGATGTGTTTGCGGCTCGGTGTGACCTTCATACTGTATGCTATAATTTCCCAAAGCTCTGCACATTGCAATAATTATGTGAGAGTAAACAAGCAGATGAATTCCTGAACAAACACACACACACACACACACACACACACACACACACACACAACAATGAAGGAATAAACAGTATCGACCAGTAGTACAAAATAATGTCTGCGTGTGGAGCTCAACCATCGCCTGTGACAGATTCAGACGTTACTGCATTTTTTTTCCAGCTCTTCATGCAACAACTTTTATAAGTGATAGTCACTTCCTCTGCAAATAATAAAAATGTATGTACACGGCTGTTTTATTCACACACACACATACACACACACACGGTGAGATGTTCCTGTTTGGGCACAAAGGAATGGTGTATATTTACGGAGACATGATGGGTAACCGCTTCAACACACCTGCAGCTGGCTTCGAGCTCATTTTTAACACGCATGTCCAGCATCTATCATGTAAAGTAAAAATAAATCCTGAGCTTGTGGGTAAAAATAAAGAAGTGCAAGATATGTGAAATGGAGAGCCTAGAATAAGGAAACACTGCCGACACATTGAACTGGTGTCCCATTGCTGTGCACCTTTTGACTGGCACGAGGTTTTACGGGAAATCAAGCTGACGAGTCAGACTGTCTGGGGCGGGAGGATGAAACAACAGCCTCTGTTCCTTCACAGAGATGTGACGAAGTGACGGAGGAGGCGGCCGGCACACAACAGATGAAGGAAAGATGGATAGAGGCCGGATGATGACTTACTGCAGAAACTGACTGTCTGAAACCTTAACTATAACTCCATGATGGCACACTGCACTGAACTCATTTGTCCCTATGTTGGTTCTCTACTCCTGATGCCAAATCCAAACATTACAACAGATTGAAAATTCTACTTCTAGTCCATTTTCTTCCTGCAGGTTTTGTTTTAATATTCATTGTCCTTGGGGGGAATTTGGCACAAAATAAAGGAAAAGCACTAAATAGTATGAAGGTGAGAAATAAAAGGATAGAGCAGGGGCAGAAAGAGCATTGGAGGGTGGAAGAAATGAAGTGACAGAGATGAACTCAGCTCACCACTGAGCTCTGCTGTTGCATTCAAGCATGATGACACATCCCTATATACTGCACTGCCAGTCTGCAAGCTCACTGCAGAATTTCTTTAGCCTTGAGGCACCAAAAATCGGTGCTCTTAACCTGATCTATACTCTCTCAAGCACACAACCCCCCCCCCCCCCCCCCAAAAAAAAAAAAAAACTGCTGTCAGATTGAAATCATGGTGAGATTCCAGGATTATAACTTCAAAGTGGAGGTATACTTGCAAAATGTGACTTGCACAAATCCTGAACGATAAGTCATGCTGAGACGGCGAGGGAGATGCAGTTTAGTGCTGTACTTTTAGCATCCCTGCAAACAGTCAACGTCACATGGACGTGCAGATCATGTCTTTATTGAGTCTGTCGGTCCAGACCACGTCTGTAGAACATCTAAACTAGGTCTTTGCACAGTGTTCCTTAAATATCACAAACACTTGTGATAAAAAAAGCTAATTCATTAAAAATGTATGTTATCTTCACCAGTGTGCATCACAATGAACCTACATGACCAGCCAGAGGATCATTTGGATTATTTTACCATGATATCTTAAAGCGTATCTGCTGGCTGAGAGGCTTTTTGTCATGATGTGCAGCGGTGCAATCTCTCAGGCCACATAATCAAATCATTATCATAGGAAAGAGAGCTGGAGCTTGGATAAACAGTCTGAGTCAGGAAATACAATGACTCAGTTAAAGATATAAATGCTTCGATCCTGACACGTCCAAAAAGGCAAACTTGCAAAAGCATCGTCCAGAAGAAAAACTCCACCTGAACTATTAAAGGCGTAACCGCGCACATTTTTCATCAATTTGAATCAGTGTCTTGAGCCAGTATGTGCTAAAATGACCCTTTATTCGATTAATGAAATGTCACTCAGACCTCCACCGCCCTCTGTGGCCAGAATATCGCACTTGCAACTTCAGAGTAGCGGGCTGGTCCTTGTTATTCTTAGTAAAGTGGAACCGACATGCCAGCACTGGAGTCTGCTTCTGGCATATTTCCTGCTTGTTTTAGATCGTGAACACAGGTGATTTGTTGATTTAGTGATGATTTGTAGAAACTAATGAAAGCTGGGGGGCATTTAGATGAAGGTGTTAAAAAGACGAACGCACAGCGATGGACACTACAGCAAGCCAAAACAGCAAAGTCTCCCTTTAAGCATTTAACCCTTTAGCTTTCAGGTTACGACTGTTGTGCTTATGCACTATCTCTGTGGGCTGTGACTGTGGGTGACTATTTGGAGACACACCATTGAGGGAATAGAGTGTAAAAATGTGGGATTATTTCTATGTAAGCGGGTAATATTTGACCAGATGATGAGTGCAAACAAATGTGTGCATCCTACTCTAATTTAGCCACAAATGTTTTAAAAATGTCTCATTTTTGTTATTTACCCTTTGTTTATACCATCGACATACATATATGGACAATGGGTTTCCATAGGCTCCAATAATAAGTTTTTGTACTAAAATGGGAGGTGGCCACCACCGCCATTTTGACCGTGTCACAGGTTCCGTCAAGCCCAGACAATTCCATAAAAGGGAAGAGAGGTGGAGCTGAGGGTGGGGCTGTAAGGCTGGGATCAACTGACGACACCTGGTCGAACTAGCTACAAGCTAACCTGAAGCTAACCCAAAGCTAATGCGGAGGTGGGAGCTAAGCTAACGGAGGTAGCAACCTAGCTACAACCAGAGTTAACTGTGCACAACACCAGAGCTTCTGAGTCAGAGATACGCCGGGCTGACCGCTGGGTAAAACCGGGTGGAACACAGAGGTCTCCGAGAGCTCCACAAGCTGGCAGCCGCACAGCAGACAAGCGCCGCTGCGATTTGAGATGCGCAGAGCTGCCGCGGGGGAGAACCAGGTGGAAAGGTTCTATCCCAGAGCTCCACAAGCCGTCAGCCCGCGCAGCACACAGAAGCCGCGATCAGACAGAGATGCGCCGAGCTGCGGGGAGGGGAGAACGGGTGGAAAACAGAGGTCTCCCGAGAGCTCCACAAGCCGATAGTCGGAACCCAGCTCCACCAACATGTTATATTTCAACCCATTTTCTAAAGTGCAGCATTATGTTAAATGCACTGGGTTTTACCCTATTACATTTAAATTTCATGGTTAAACAGTACATGTTAAAATCTAAGCTCAGCTCGGCAGTGACCTAAAATACATAAATATAATTTTACTTACCGAAAAAAATGAAGTGGAGACTCCTTGGATGCTCTATTAGTGCAATTAATGCCACAGCAAGTCATTTTGTCCAACAATTGCACAAATAATATCCAAAAAAGAATACACAAACACAGAGACTCAAAATCCCGGAGCAGTTTCCAAGCCAGACTGAGGCTCAGACTGAGGCCTTTCCACGGAGCTAGCTCTGCGGTAACGTGGGTCTGATGCTCATTAATTATACAGAATTTTAGGCTTTTAATACACTTAAACAGAAGAGTGAGAAAAAAAAGTCACCCCCCTCAGAGTTGTCATGAGTGTAAACTAGATAATTTAAACCAAAAACACGTTTTGGTACCAGGCTGTAAACATGTTTATTTCTGCTGTGAAATTGGTATTTTTAACATGGGAGTCAATGAGGATTTGCTCGCTTCTGACACCAGCCCCCAGCGGATGAGGGTGGAACTGCAATTTCTGGTACTTCCGGTTTGAGACCAGTTTCTGAGCCACATTGTGGGGCTTTGGTTTATACTCAACTTGGTCACTAACTCGTCAAAAAAGGAGGGGGGAAATCAATGTTTTTAATATTTTCTGTCACAGATATTAAAGAGGAGTTCCAAAAACACAATTCTTGTCATTTCTATAACATTTCAGCAACATACGAGGAAACTGAGAACCCGCAAAAATGTTTGGGTACATTCAGTAAAATCCTTAATTATTTCAGTTTGTAATTTGTCACCAAGAATCAAAGCCTAGGTTTTACATACCCACGATAATTAAAACTAAAGCCTTTCTTCCTGTTTTTAATTACTTTGATTTTAGATAATTTGCTGATCTCATTCCTCAAGGTGCTGTTTCTGACTTTTACTAATTGCATAATTAGTTTAATCCTTTGATTAGTTATTCAAACCAACTCCCAGGTTTGTCTTTGTGCAATAATTCCTTTAAAAAGGGAACTGCGTTTTCAGGGAAAACATGCAGATTAAACAAACAGCAGCAACATTTTAAAGCAATATTGAACAGATTTCTCAGCCGTTTTGTGTTCTATAACATTTTCTTGCTACTTTTGAATGTGCATGTATACATACCTCTTCCCATTGATGTATGTATCTTATGAGCCGGGACAATCTCAACAGACGCAGGAGACTGAGGATCTTGGTGAAGCGGACGATTCGCAGAGCACGTGCTGTTTTATAAACCTCTGAGTCAAAGCCTTTCTCCACTATTAAAAAGATATAATCCACTGGAATGGAAGAGAGGAAGTCCACAACGAACCAGCTCTTCAAGTAATTCATCTTGATGACTTTGGGATCAAGGATGATCTCAGAGCTCTCCTCGTTGACGATCCCTGTTCTAAAGTTCATGACCAGGTCCACCAAGAAGATGGTGTCTGAAGCCACGTTGAAGACCAGCCAGGTGGTAGTAGTCTGCTCTGAGAAGAAGGTTATTCCCACAGGAATGATGATTAGATTCCCCATCATCATGATGAGCATTATCAAGTCCCAGTAGAACCTGCAAAGCAAAAAACACACATTAGCAAAAAGTACTTTAGTCACAAAAGGTATGACTTCTTTTCTTTAGGTATTGTCCTATGGTCGATATAATAATTCTTCATGAAGTTATCGTCACTAAATCACTCTCATTTAACAAAAATTACACCAGTTTTTATTCTTGAATGAGCCATTTCAGGGCTCTGTCACAAGCTGGAGCTGGCCACACCCACACAACCCCCACTCAGGCTGCTATAGAGCTCCGGGCGTCACGTGACCAGGTTTGTTAATGACGCCATATTGGCAGGAACGCGAACGGGGAAAATAAATGAACAGCGACTACAATGGATGGTTGCAGGCAACTTTTGGAAAGTGATGAAGAGCGATACACCACTAAACTTCAGGGACTACAGATTAGTGATCCCTAATTAGCTCCGGGTGTACTTTTTAAACCAATAGATCAGGTGGCACGCGTTGCGGGACTCCCAAAGTTACAGTTTCCCCACATCAGAATCAGAATCAGAAAAGGTTTATTGCCATTGTCAGTGAACAAACAATTCACAAACTAGGAACTTGCTTTGGTACTAATGTGCTACATATAACATGAATAATAATAAGATTAAAAATAGAATAAAATAGAATAAAACTTTCAGCTATAAAAAATGGCAGGTAATGGTAACATGGCCAATAACTTGATGTTGTGTTGAGTACAGAAGACGAGCATGGATGTGTGTTTATAAGCTATTCACAAGTCTAACGGCAGATGGAAAGAAGCTGTTCTTATGGCGGGAGGTTCTGGTCCTGATGGACCAGAACCTCCTGCCTGAGGGAATAGCGGCTCAAAAAGTCTGTGACCCGGGTGAGAAGGGTCAGCTGCTATCCGACCTGCACGCCCGCGAGTTCTGGAGACATACAGGTCCTGGAGAGATGGCAGGCTGCAGCAAATCACCTTCTCATATATAATTATCTCATCAACTTTCCTTCACACTACACCGGAGACTTGCTGAAAGCCTACAAAAGTCTGGAGGGATACAAATGGATTCAATCGGATTTGTGGCTGAGATTCAACTGTGGGGTTTACAACAAAGGGATTGTTTTGTTGTCATTATAAAGGTAAGTGGCCAAATATAATGCCGGTAGTATGCTAGCATATGCTATGATACGTTAGCCAGGAAGCTAATAGCAAAACGTTATTCTGTGTTTGATTATTTTTTACAGGTAAATCGCTCACAAAGATTAAATGCCCCCCAAATTAAAAGCCATGGGCAGTGGTTAGAAGAGATGGTGTTGTGCTCGGAGCTCATTGTAATTGCACAGCTGGACAGGGAGAGTGTTGCTCTCATGCGTTTGCTATGCTGTTGAGATTATGGCAGCATAAGGGAAGATGAGGTAACAGCAACATAAAAAAATGCAAATGGGACAGACCAAGTGACATTGCTATGAAGAGGGTGGAATATCTGCAGGGGAAGGATATTGTGTTTAACCACACACAAGGCGAAGTGAGTCAAGATGAGCTGCAGAAAAGAGCAGAAGCTTTGTATGACCAGTGAGTAAAGGACAGATAACGTATCAACTGTCCTCTCTGTCTTCATAAGGTTAGTCATATTTGATATATGTTGTAATTATTATTGCATTTGCAGAGTGAAGTGGTGGAGAAGCAGACGCGAGATCAGCAAAAGTCCAAATTATGGTTTGAACAGAGAGCCGGCAGAATTACTGCATCCACATTCAGAGCAGCAAGTAAAACAGACATCAGGAAGCCTTCAGTATCTCTTATCAAAAAAATTTGTTATCCACAGTCTTACAGTTTTTCAGGTGAAGCAACAAGGTATTTTCTGTCTTACACAAGGTTGTGGTTTGCGTAGGCATTTTTATTTTTTGAAATTAATGTTTATCTGTTAATTAACATCTCTTTTTTTCCTATCTGCAAATGGGGCTGTAAACGTGAAGCTGCAGCACAACAACACTATGAAAACCAACATCGTCTCACACATTCTGACGTTCTGGTCGAAAAGGCTGTACCACTCATCCATTTATTGGAGCATCACCGGACGGCTTTGTGTCTTGCAGCTGCTGTGGTATTGGTGTCATAGAAATCAAGTGTCCCTTTTGTGCCAAAGATTTAATTGTTGCTGATGCGGTAAAAAATACAAGTTTCTGTCTTGAAAATGACCAAAGTGGAAACATGAGACTGAAACATGACCACAGTCACTTTTATCAAGTTCAGATGCAAATGTTCGTGACTGGCAAATCATATTGAATCATACTGAATCTGTACAAATATCACATTTCTTTAACAGTTAATTTTTCAGTCGTCTGTATTGAAAAATGAATGTAGTGTTTACACTGATCTTAAATGCAAATCAGATTGTAATCACATTACTTGTAGCCTACTGGGTGGGTACAACTGATTCACATACATTTGTGAGAGCACAACACACCTTCACAATTGTATCTACATGCATCACATCCTTTTCTTTGTCAGTGTCAGTAAATGTGATGGGTGCGGTGCTTTGCAATAAAGCGTATTTCTGACGAACAACTCCTATGACCCTTTCAGTGTGTATCCTGAGTGATGCTAAGCATCGGGGCTTTCCAGGTCAACAGGATCTAACTGTTTTTTACCACGGGTAAAAGCTGGAATCTTTCTGTCAGCTTGGAACGATTGTACAGACTGTCTCACGTTAAAGCCCCTGTCTGCCAAAACAAGGTCTCCTGGAAGTAAGTGTGATAAAAAGTGACTATTTTCTGAGATGAACTTGTCACTTGTGCGGCCTCCCCACCCATTAGAAATAAAACAAATAGATCCCTGTGGGCTAATGGCAATCAGATATTTCACAGTGTGATGTGATGTAGAATAACACTGGGTACTGGCTAAAAGATTACTTGGTTTTTCAATGAATATTTCAAAGCAGTCAATAATACAGTTTTCTCAAAGTTTTTGCTACGAAATGCACGTGGTAGAGTTTGTCTTAAAATATCTCTCAGGCCAGACGATAAGACTTGGAACTAATCTACAGTACATCACACTAATACAGTGCTCGAAAAGTTTAGAAACTGGTGGAATCAACTCCAAAATAAAAAGCCAAAAAATCAAAGCTTAAATTCATCCGTAACTTAATTAAGGTCAACACAAGCTGCTGAAATAATGTGAAGGAAGATTTCATTTTAAGAAATGGGAAAACAACATTGAAAAGAGCCATCAGAATTGAAAACGTGGGTAATCCAGTCAACGTTAGAACTGTTTGATCACCGTTTTGCAGAGCAGATTCATTTAGTTCAGTTTTAGACATATGTTCTCTTTTCGTAGCTGATTCTCAGCCCTTAAGGCTTGAACCTCCAATTTGAGTGAATAGATTATTGTTTGACAGTTTTCACATGAAGGTCCAGTGTTACTATTAGGGATGCAACGATACCACTTTTTTCCAAACCAATACGATACCGATACTTTGATCTAAGTACTCGCCGATACCGATTACCAATACCGATACTTCTACCACACGAAAAAATTCAATGATTTGGAATACAGATTTTATTTTCTTCTCTGCTTTCAACAGGTAAAGACTGTGAGGTAGATAAAAAGTAAAATATATGAATGGAAATCATCACAAAACTAAAATATAAGGTTAACAGAAATGACAAGTTACAGTGAAGCCATTTTCAAGCAACTGCATTGGTATCGGTTAACTTTTACCGATACCGATACTGGTATTGGTATCAGTATTGGTGCCGATACCAGTATCGTATCGGTGCATCCCTAGTTACTATCTCCCTCCAAAGGCTGGCGGTGATGTTTGGGTTCTGTGCAATCTGTGACAGTGGATGGTCCTGCAGAAGGTTGGGAGTCATTTTCTGGTTCAGTGTAGTCCCTGATGGAGGAGGCTTCACCAGCAGAAATATGTGATCCCATGGCTGCTTGTGTGAAATCTTGCTGTAATCTTCTTATTTTAGCTGCCTGTCATCTATTAAGTTTGTTCTACAAGCAACTTTCCCTTCTTATTTACTGGGGAGGGCACATGCTTGAAAACTGATGGACATAGTCGGGTGAAAGCAGATTGTCACTCTTTTCCCTAGGACTAAATGAACAAACAGAAGTCAGGAGGATTACAACAAAACACAAAGGCTTTTACTGGTACGAACTTTAGACAATATATTTAGACAGAAAAAAATGGTAGCTATTACTTTTGAGTAATATAACACAAATTCTGTTTATTTTACTGTTAAGCCTTTTGTTTACACCGCCACAGATCATTTTTCAACATTCGTTAGCCGTTACCATCAACCCCGTGGACTCATGTTTTGATTGCATGAGCTAGAACTACAATTTTTAAACCTTAACTTCAAATTACGTGAAGTTGCCTGAAATGAAATGGGCACTGCACAAGCGGAATCCATTGTGCGACGGGTTCCAACGCTCGGTTTTCTTCATCGCGCTTCGAGCTCATTTGATCGCAGAAATCCATCGTTCCCTCCGGGCTGGGTCTTTCGAAATGCAATAAAAGGCTCGGTCTTTAACCTGACCTCGGTGGTTTGTGCAACTAGGAGCACAACACGAGTCAACCATTATCTGAAAGCTGGAAAACTGTCGGCTAGTTGGCTTGCTTAAAATTTGTTTCCTGCCCATATGGAGCACCGTGGTGCATGATGGGATCGTGTGACGTCACCTCCCGGAGCTCTATAGGCTGAGAAGCTCTGATAGAAAAAACCTCTGCTCCTCCAGCAGTGGCTCTCTCTCTCTTCCACAAAGGAGGTTCTTTGGTAATTTTCCCATTTGCTATGTCACAAACAGGGTCTTGTTGAAAAAGCTTGTTTTAGAAACATAATTCCTAAACACGGAGGATAGAAAGTGGCTGGACCTTTTTCATGTTTGGAGTGTTTATAGAGGCAGTAGAGTTCCACGTGGCAGCAGATAAAACATGCAAAAGGTGAGTTTTGCATAATGAGCCTCTTTTAAGGTTTCAGCAAAAGAAAAAATAAATAATTTAAACAATTATTATAATTTTCACAGCTCATTTTGCTTAAAAAACAAATGTAAACATCTGTTTTCACAATCACTCATCCAATATTTATTTGCCCACTTTACCAACAACCCCAAACCCCAACTTCATGCACCTTGTTGACTGAAAACAATCAGCAGAAAAGATACGTGGGGTTGGCTTTTAATGTTGCAGCCAACAAATGGGAGACAACATGAGAGTCCATACTTGAGTTATTACAAAATCTCTTGGGCTGAAAGTTAACTGTGATTCAAGGACACTGTGTTATCTACTGCTACCACTTACTGCATGTTTTCAGGGCCCCCTAGACTGAGACCCTCTCATCCTTCACAGCTGCATTAATGTTCCTGCCCTCTGCTTTGCCACGAAGAAAGGCAGAAGTGATTCATCAGCTGCTTGCTCCATTCGCCGAGCGCACCGAGCCCCGATAACGGTCCGAATGACCACAAATGAAAATAGATGCTTTCAGGAATCCTATCTCATTGTAAAATCCCCTCCGCCATCTCCATCCTAGCTGCCTGGCTGCTCTGCCTTGCTGTCTGTTGATGGTGGAAAGAATGGACTTGCTGGCTGCTGTGGCAGGCTGCCTGTCTGTCTGGAAACCCGGCCACTCAGTAATGGATCTGCGTGAACAAATTAAACCAAGGTCTCGGCTTTATAAATATCCACAGATCGTGTGTCCGATAATCATCCTCACTTCAACTAAAGAGCAGTATTCTAGGCGGCTCATAAAATCCACTGAAGGTATTTTTAAGCCAGAACATCAGTGATGCACTTTTTTTTAATCTTCATATTAATCCCAGGAGTGCATTGTGCATTTTCTCTTTTAATTTACAGAATTTCAAAAACACAAACACAGTTGGCTTATTTTGCTGTTTCCCAGGATGTTGCACATGACCTATTCTTCTTGTTCCTTTTATGTAAAGAACTTAATGAGGAGTTGTGGTGAACTCATCTGCTGTGATTCATGTTTTCAGTTCCCACAGACACGGGGAAGTGAACAATTCTTATCTAGAAGGCATCGAGAATGAAGATGAAGATTAAATCATGAGACACTCTGTGGTTAAAGAAGAGAGCCATATTAGAACAAAACGAGATCAAACAAAAACAGCAGCTCAGCGGGTTAAGTGTTAAGTCAGGGAAATGTTCGATGCTCCTTACTCACAAATTAAATGAAATTCCACTGAGGAAACACGACTCCTTCGATCCTTGTCTTCATCACGACTTAGGTGGGTGGAATTTATGCATGACCTCCAGGACACCCACTTATATAAAGGAAAGAAGGTTATTCCTCTTCTATATTTAAAAACAGAGCTTGATTCAACAACTTTAGAAGATATTTATTTCTTGGTGAAAGAGTCATAATCATCACAAATGGCAAACAAGTGTTTCTGATAACCTTTGACTAGTCTCTTAAATTGCTTAGTCACACTCTTTTATGCTGGAGTGTTTAAATTCAGCTACATTGGACGGTTTTCCAGCATGAATGGCCTGTTTGAGGTCAAAGGTCAGACATTCTCCTTCAGGATGTTCAGTAGAGAGCAGAACACATAGATTGGGTTTTCAGATGAACCCAGATGGTTTGACTCATTCGTCACCTGGTAAAATCTATGTGGGCTACTCCCCTGTGGAGCCACCATGGAAACTGTGGACAAACCCTGTTGGCACCTATTCAGTTTTCCCATATTATCCATATGGGGTCCACCCATGTGTGCTGGCTGGGTAGTTTACCAGCAGGTGTAGCATCTTCTAAAGCTGCATTTGGTATTTACTCAGGGTATCTTTCTCTGAGTCATTTTGTGGCTGATGCTAACTATTTTATCGAATTCATTCACCTAATTCATCTAGTATAATTGTTCAGTGACAATAGAAGACATCCATTCATTGCATTTGGTGAAAATGCAAAATAAATAAATAAAGAATTCTGTAGGGTAGCAAATCTTTTTCTCTGCTTTGCATTTTGGTGTAAAATATGGTCCCCTTTCATCCCAAAGAACCAGTCACAAAAGCTCCAACAAAAGTCCTAACATCACACTCATCATTGCATGCATCATTACATTAGTCTCTTGCTTTAATGCTCCAGTTCTCACCATGCAGCCAGTTAACCCAGCAGCAATGTGCAGTTAAGACAACTCTAAGACTAGTTGTGCATTTAGGTTATTTCCTTCTAACTTGACGTGTTAGGCAGTGGATGCAGCATTAAACTGCCGATCCATTAATTGTTCCAGCAGGATACTGCACCAGCTATATGCATTCACTTCCATCAGAGCCATCCAATCTCCTGATCATTCCTTTTTTAAGTTTTAAACATAAGCACGTTGCTGTTTTCATACATTTAACTATATAAATGCAATAACACTACAAAGAACATTTCTTTGTGCTTTTTCATTATTTTCCACCATAGTTTAGTGTTTGAAGACAAATACTGAGATAGAATGCTTGTCTAAAAGCCAGTGCTGAAAACCCAGCCCATCCAACTATCAATCTGAGACAGAGGGAACACTACTGGTACTAATCACGCTTCAAATCAAGCCAGCACTTTTTTTTCCTGTAGATTTCCACTTTACAACAAGCGATCCATCATAATCAGTGCCAGACCAATCCTGCCAAGCAACAGAGGGAACCCCACATGATCTTACTCAGCACAGAGCGGCCCAATCCAGTCTGCAATGTAACAGGTACAGCATTGATAGAGGTCACACAACGATGATGGCTGCATCAAGGAAATTTCTCCCCGAAAGCCTAATATATGGAACCCAACGACATTTTCCCTAAAAACCTGCCTTTATTCATTAGTTCACACTATCAACTGACGATATCTTTTGAAATGACAAGAATTTAGCCCATTTCCATATAAAAGCAGATTATGACAGGAAATATTTCACATAGACTAATGGAAATATACCAAGAGTCTCTCAGAATGGGATGGAGTGTTTGTGGCTATGCACAAGGCCTCTCCAAAAATCTATGAATAATGAATATTACTAACCTGCCATCAATATTCAAGCAGCTATTGTGTGCAAATAACATGTTGGATATTGGGTTCCACACACTCCCATGAAGCATTATAAGCCTGTGTGAATGGTGTAGTCATTCATGTGTTGTACTTATGTAACACCGTTGACTAATGTTTGGTCCTACAAGGTCCTGTCTTGTTAAATGCAAGTTAAGGATTCCAAAGTGTTTGAAATTATTATTTATCCAATTTTAGAAATGAAAAGTGGTTTATTTTTGAAGAGCTGGAATGTTTTCTCCTCCATCCATCATTTTGAAGCCAAACTGTAAACCCAAAGCAGAGTTGTGTCTTTATGTCAGCTAGAGGGGAAGCACTCCTTCTGAAAATTCCCTCTTTGGAAAATGCCACTGGAAGATAACCCAGAGCAGGATTTTTCTGACAGTGCAGGAATAAAAGAGTTAGTTTGCTTCAGGAAACAGGGATATAGTTTGGGTAAATACTTTTTAAAAGTATAAAGAAACTATAATCAATGCAGCTTAAAATGTAAAGACAATAAAAAAACATGTAAAGAAGACGTATAGATTTCACTCTATTGTGTGGGTCGTACTCTTTGGCCATCTTTGGAAGGGGTCAATCTCCTTACGTAACTGTTTTCAGAGTCTGCTGAGCTCATTTACTGTTATGCTAATCCTTGCCCACCATGGTTGTACATCTGTGTGTGCATGTGCATATGACTCTATCTGTGGGTCTGAGTACAGGATTAGTTGGTTAGCTTCATTCTGGCCAAGTCATTTTTGCAACAACAAAAAAAAAGAAAGAAAACGTCCAAAATATAGGATGATGGCATATGCACAGCTTGGAAATATCGTGTGCATGCTATCTGCCTGTTGCACTGTAATCGATAAAAACTTTTATATCAATCAATAACATCAGAGGGGAGCCGAGCTACACATTTCTTTTCCCTTTAGCTGCTCTGGGTTCAGGACCATGGACAGCTCAGTGGTGAAGAATCTGAGGGCTTAACCGGTCGTGCTGGGCTGTAAATACGCATTTTGAGAGGATCTTAATCATCTTTTAGATGCTCTTTTTCATCCCAAACACTGCTGACAACGTTAAACAAATCAGGAGTTTGTTCAAACTATGAAAAGTAGATTATTTTGTACATCCTTCCTGGTGCAAGAGGCCTGCGCATCATGTGAGAATAAATATCAGTAATTATGATGCTTCAACTATTGATCACGTTTCCACGTAAATAAAACACACACACCTCTGATACGTCCAGCTATATGATTTGCCCTCTCCTCCCTGTATATACCCAGATATAATATTTCTCTAATTTATTCAACACGGCATTTTGAGTTCAATCTGCAGCTGCATGATTTTACCGCATTCTGTACGTTTTTTTCTCCTCCACGCAGCCTGGCCCTCCGTCTCACCACTGACTACAGGGTAGTGTTTACTACGGTGGTGCAGTGGCGGTGTCACGTTGTGTCCAGGTACCGTCGCCCCGACACAAGCGGAATATGTCGCAAAGAGGACCCGACACTGCTGCCTGTGTGTGTGCGCACGCACGTGAGTGTGTGTATGTGTGTGTGTGACATTCACCATTCTGCTTCCAAGGACATACCACCAACACATCTTTAGCTTGAAGTCTATCAGTTTGGTTTCATTATTAAGATTTATTTGAAATGCCGCAATGAAACGGGGAAGGCCAGCAGGAGTCGAATAGTCTTAATACTGAGCTAGATTACAGGATGCGCTCAGGGGCAGGTGTGTGCGCGCGCGCTCGTGTGTGTGAAAGTGTCGGCTAAATTTTGCAGACCCTAGGGTGACGGGATGTATAAAGGAAGGAGGGGTGAGCAGGTGTCTATTCCAGCCCTTACCTAAAATCGCTATATGGATGAATGATCCAGTATCCGGCCGTCTGGACGCGTTCTTGCTCCTTCTCCACGGCTTTCTGACTGCCGAACATACGCAAGGAGAACTTATTGACTCCGGGCTGCATCATCGCCCCAAATTGCCTCTGCATAAAACCATACTGCCTGGACGCCCCGTCCAGATCGTCAAATCCGACCATGGCCTCTTCCCGCTCCCCCTTGAAGCCCACGGAGTTGCCATGGTCCTTCATGTTCTGGCTTCCCGTGCTGTTTTTCTGTATCGAGTCTTGCCTCTGGAAAACATTATTCCCATCCGCCTTCTCCTCCTTGTTGCTGGAGAACGAGTTGGATTTGTCTTCCATGGTGCTCTGAGTTTGGATCTTTGTCTTCTCTCAGGGAGATGAAGCGGTCCGCCGCCTGCTCGCGAGAGCTGCGCGTTAAACTGGAGAGGAGCCCGCCGCGAGCTCCACTCTTTTTTTTCTTTTCTTTTGATGTCCTTCAAAACTGTTCAGCTCCTCCTGTCTCCAATGCGAGTGCTGCAAACTGAGCTGGAGTGCACGAGAGCCCGGTGGATCAGGTTTCTCGAGTTACCGCCATCTACCGACGGGCCCGGCTTGTACCGATCACAGCCTGAGCCTCATCTCACTCCGCGCGCCACTGCGGCTTCACTGCTACACGCTCCTGCGCCTTATTTACATAATATAAATGTGGCCAGTGAAATCCTCCTCCTGCTCGATCTCCTCCCGTTATCCTCCGTCAACATCCATCTCACATGGTGGGGATAATCCAACACAATATGTGAATTTATTAATTTGTTTGGGACCTTTTTTATTTATTTATCCACTGGCTGCAGATTAGTTTCCAGCTGACTCAATGAAACACGTTGCAAAGTTTTCGTGATCATATTGTTATTGTATATTATTTATGTTCAAACAATGATAATCTCAATGCCAATCCCCTGCAGTGGCCTCCTGCTGATGTCCACTCTTGTTTCAGGTGCTGTCAGTCTCAGGTGTGTCTGCAGCACCTGACTGGTAATCAGTGGAGACAACGGTATTCACATTTATCACAGTTATAAGTATAGAGACTACTTAAGAGAAAGTATTAATTCAAGCTCTTTACTCAAGTAAAAGTAAAAAGAAGGAAACATTTATTTCAAAACCATTTTCTGTAGTTATAATAAGTTAATTTTGTTTACTTTACTTTTTAGGTCGCAAATTACAATTTAAAAAACATATATTTGTATCAACAAATAATCTAACAGTCAGGGTAAATAAAAAATAATTACTTAAAAAAGAAAAGTTATACATGACACAAACACAACAGTGCACACTTCCCTCAAAAACACGTTTACTATAGACTATAATGACTATATTGTTATGTAAAAATGTTAATTTTTACACATTTCATAGGCTACCTGTATCAGCCACATATATGCCCATTGAAAGTGAATGCATTTTAGTGCAATGCAAATACACTGAAGAACCACATGTGGACTACTGAGCTTTAACACAATACCCTTGAATGATTGTTTATATAGTGTAACAGCCGTGATTGTGTGGTCACTTTGAGATAGCTTGAGTTGTTTGTTAGTGATGTCACAAGTATGCGCCGCTACCTGCCCTACAGAATGTGTGAGAAGCGGGATGCAGATGGATGTATGGACTCAAATGGACAACATTTTCTTCTCTCAAGTGACGTTACAGGTTGTGTGAGCTCTGCTTCTTTTTCATGTGTGACTATAGCAGCCATTCAACCGGGCCTTGTAAGGTTGTTGAAGAGAGATATTAAAGGACAAACAGTGTGGAATTCCCCGTACCAGTGTGGTTGTGTGTTTTCACTGTCCTGCGTGTTTTCCACTGTGCCATCTCGACTACCGAGCACAACCCAAATGTTACAATAGCCTACTGACACGTCTTCACTGGCTCCCTGTCTTTTTCAGAGTGCAGTTTAAGTTACTGACTATTGTTTTTAAAGCACTCAATGACCTGACACCTCCCTACCTCTCTGCCCTGCTCACTCCATATGTGCCCACGCGCACGTTGAGGTCGGCTGACCTTTTGCTGCTGTACACGCCGCGGATGAGACTCAAATCGCAGGGTGATCGAGCATTTATGCATGCTGCCCCAAAGCTATGGAACTCACTGCCCATTGGAGTTCGGCAGGCTCCATCTCTGGCGGTTTTTAAATCTCATTTAAAGACCCACTTTTACACTTTGGCTTTCAGACAGTGACTCGTTTTAGTGTTTTATTGTATCATTGTTTTAATTGTGTTCTTAGTATTCATCATGGTTTATCTGCCTTTGATTGAGATTTTTATCCTCAGTTTTAGCTCCTTGTAATGGTTGTGTTTTGTTTTAGCCTGTACAGCACTTTGGGCAGCTCCCATGCTGCGTTTTAAACGTGCTATATAAATAAACTATGCCATGCTATTAGTTCTGTCAAAAATGGATAAGTCCTGGCTGGACTGAGACGTGGATTTTGTCATGCACAGTGAGCGATGGCATATGTAGTTATCGCCCATTTATCGTTATCGAGGTGAAATCCTCAATATATCGTGATATTGAGTCTTATTTCCTGATATCTGGACATCTTGCCTCTGACTGGATAACAGCAATGTGACTCCACCACTGACTGTTTGCTCTGCAACTTGGATGTATTATCTATACAAATAACACAAGCCTGAAGGAGTTCTGCTAATCATTGCTAATGCTAATGATTAGCTTCTGCTAGTCGAGACGTTCTCTGCTGTTTCCTGGACACCAACAACTGCCTTCCCCATTGTGAGCCATTGTGGGTGAATCCATGAATGTTAGATGACAGTGTGACATAGATCTGTCAGGCTTTTATTCATTTATTTTAATTTTTTTTAACCTTTATTTAACCAGTTGAGTCGATTGAGAACGCATTCTCATTTACAACAACAATCTGGCCAAAAGCTAGCAGCAACAGACACATAGTTAGCTTTACATCAAAGAACAACAGACCGATAAGATAAAATTAAGTGTAAAACAACTGGACATAAAAGGACTGTTCTCATAAACAATATGTGCAAGGCAAGCGATCAGACTTAAAACAATCTTCCGGCACATTGACCAGAAACTTTTCAAATCCTAAAGTTTCACCATTTATTTCCTATCAGAAGCTAATTCAGGAGATAGATGCAGGAGACTATTTTCACGTTCAGCCTGCATGAAAAACTCTGAGTGACCAATTATTTTCAAAAATAATAGGTAAAAAAATTGTTTCTCAGTGAGCCTGCCCTTTAAAAATAATAGAATGTGTATGTTGAATAATCCTTCCAAACTAGAAAAAATAACAGTTTTTTTAATCCTTGGTAGTAGTAGCAGTAGTGGGGGCAGTAGTGATAGGAGTAGTAGTAGTTTTGTTATGGCAACAGAAACTCATTAAGCTTATGTTTATGTTTATGTATTTAGCAGACGCTTTTGTCCAAAGCGATTTACAAGTGATAACCAGCATTTTGCCCTTGAGGCTAACAACAACAATAACAACAACAACATTGGCATCAGTCATGGAGAGTAGGGAACAAGGAGTGAACAGTAGAGAGGGGGGACGGGTGCAGGCAAGGTGCTAGTTAAGAAGATGCTCTCTGAAGAGCAGGGTCTTCAGGAGTTTCTTGAAAATCGAAAAGGAAGCCGCAGTTCTGGTAGTGCTTGGAAGGTCATTCCACATTTGTGGAACGATGCATGAGAAAAGTCTGGATTGTCCTGAGCGTGGTGTAGGCACTGCTAGCCGACAATCCTGTGATGACCGGAGCGGCCGGGCCGAGACGTAAGCCTTTGCAAGAGGATTCAGGTAGATGGGAGCCGTACCATCTCGGACTTTGTATGCTAGATTTAGCAATTTGAATTTGAAGCGTGCTGCTAGCGGTAGCCAGTGGAGCTCAATGAACAGTGGGGTGACGTGTGCTCTTTTTGGCTGATTGAAGACCAGACGCGCCGCTGCGTTCTGGACCATTTGAAGAGGTCTCACAGTACAGGCTGGAAGACCAGTTAGAAAGGCATTGCAGTAATCGAGGCGGGAGATGACAGTAGATTGCACCAGGAGCTGGGTAGCATGTTGTGTTAGGTATGGTCTGATTTTTTGTATGTTTTACAGCACAAAGCGGCATGAACGGGCAACAGAGGCAACATGATCTTTAAAGGTCAGGTGTTCATCAATCACACCACCCAGATTTCGAACTGCCTTTGAAGGAGCCATAGATGGGAAATCATTTTGGATAGAGATATTGTGCTGTAGGGATGGTTTTGCTGGGATGACAAGTAGTTCAGTTGTAGAGAGGCTGAGTTGGAGATGGTGGGATTTCATCCATTTTGATATGTCAGAGAGACAGTTTGATATTCGTGCAGACATCCGGTGGAAATGACAGATAGAGCTGGGTGTCGTCTGCATAGCAGTGGTAGGAGAAGCCATGTGATCGAATGATTTCACCCAGTGAGGTGGTGCATATGGCAAAGAGAAGAGGTCCTAGTACAGAGTCCTGGGGGACTCCTGTGGCAAGATGGTGCACGGTAGAGGATTGTCCAAGCCAAGATACTGAATGTTCATCCTGTGAGGTACCATTTAAACCAGGTGTGTGCTTTCTCTGTGATGCCCATGCTAGAGAGTGTGGACAAAAGGAAGCCATGGTTGACAGTGTCAAATGCAGCCGATAAGTCGAGCAGGATAAGCACTGAGGATTTGCCTGTCGCTCTAGCTTCTTTTAAGGATTCAGTCACTGCTAACTGAGCAGTTTCAGTGGAGTGGCCCTTTTTGAACCCAGATTGGTAAAGGTCAAGCAGACAGTTTTGTGAGAGGTATTCTTTGATCTGCTTGAAAGCCACCCTTTCAATGATTTTGGACAGAAAAGGGAGGAGAGAGATAGGTCGGTAGTTCTCCACATGATTTGGAGGAAGAGATGGGTTTTTTTAGCAGCGGTTTTGTCGCGTGCCCGTCCCATTTACCGGTTCCGTTAGAACTTATGAGACGGTGCATCCATCAGGGTTCGAGTGGGGGTGTCGGCGAGTTTAATCGAACTAGACCCGGGTTTGGACCACCTAATTAGAATTGTGTCTTTTATTTTAAAGGTGAAATGACTTGCACGAATAGCAATCCCCAGAGTAGTCCACTTCTTTTAAACTCGTTACCTTTTGGTTAAGATACTAGAGAGAAGTCTGGAGGCAAGCCAAGCCTCTCAGCAATTGTTTGGGTTATCCGGATTAATTGCGCCTCTAACAGCTTATGTGGGAGGTTGGTAACTATAAAATGATTTATGCTAGTTGATCAGGCTATCATAAGTTTATCAATTTATTTATTAATCCAACCACTCCAGCTGTTAGAGACTTTTTCAACCTGCAATCAGAGCCAAAAATAACCTCTAATATTCTGTTTTTATCGCCCTTAAGACAACTCGTTACTCGTAAGGAGGGGGAGTTAAAACTCCCCTTATCTTAAGGTTTCTTTATATTATTTTATTATAAACTGTAAAGTAAGTCCTGATAATTCAGAGACCTGTGATCGACATGCTTACCTCTGTGCAATTTATGGCCAGGGCCCCCAACCGTGAAGCTTTAGAGAAAACCTGAAATAATCAGGATTATGTTTCTTTTCCAAAAAAGTTTATTACAAAATAGAAAATACAAAAATGGGTAAATAAAAAACAACTGCTATCCCCCAAGGAGGAA